ATGAATGTAGAGAGCTCGGCTCACTGTTTACCCAAGGGCCCCGGGCAATGTCTTAATCCTAGTATAGCCTGCTCTGACTTTCTCTGTCTCCTAGTGAAAGGCTTTCTGGCTCTCCTCCATCCGGCAGGAATTCTCCTCGCCAACATGCTTTCTTCCCAGCCCCTGGACCTGCTTATTCAGTAGACAGTTTTAAACTCTGGACAAATGAGAAAATGTTCCCTCTGTGAGACGGCAGTGGAAGGCTTACTGCCGTGTGTGTGTGTGTGTGTGTGTGTGTGTGTGTGTGTGTGTGTGAGAGAGAGAGAGAGAGAGAGAGAGAGAGAGAGAGAGAGAGAGAGAGAGCACAAGCACATGCATGCAGATGCTAGTGTTTAACTTTGGGTGTCCTCCTCAGTTGCCTTCTGGGACTAGAGAGACAGCTCAGTTAGTAAAGAGCTTGCATGAGGACTTCAGTTTGATTTCTGGAATCCATGAAAAAGTCCATGTACAGCTGCATGCACGCACATACACACGTGTGTGTGTGTGTGTGTGTGTGTGTGTGTGTGTGTGTGTGTAAAGGCAATGTTCTATTAGGCATTTTGTCACGGCAACAAAACATCTAACTAATCTGTATGTCCTTATTCTTCTTGTACCATTGAGGAAGCTAAGGTCCCCAGGACAATCTTGAGGAAGAAAGGCGGGCATGAACAAACTTGTCTTGACCATTATCAGGCAGAAGCACCCAGGGTTTCATCATGAATGATATGGCTAGCTGTAGTTTGGATTTTTTTTTTTTTTTTTTTTTTGCAAATGTCCTTTCTCAAGTCAAGGAACTTTCCTTCTGTTCCAGGTTTGCTGAAGGTTTCTGGATGGGAACTGAGTATTGTCACATTTGTGTGCTTGGCTGGCAGAGGTGGGCTGAAGATGGGCACATCTGCTGAGCTCGTGGTGGTGGCTCACACCTTTAATCCCAGCACTTGGGAGACAGACGGGTGTATCTCTGTGAGTTCAAGGACAGCCTGGTCTACAAAGCAAGATCCAGGTCAGCCAGGGTTACACAGAAAAGCCCTGACTCGAAAAAACAAAAGAAGAAGACAGACAGACAGACAGACAGAAGGGAGGGAGTAAGGGAGATAGGAAGGGAGGGAGGGAGAGAGGAGAGAAGGAAGGAAAGAAGGAAGGGAGGGAGGAAGGAAGGAAGGGGAAGGAAGGAAGGAAGGAAGGAAGGAAGGAAGGAAGGAAGGAAGGAAGGGGATGGAAGGAAATGTACTGACTCACAGCTCTGGAGGCCAGGAAGTTCACGATCCAGAGGCCAGCACCAGACACAGCCTTCTGACTGTATCAAGACACAGAAGAGGGCATCACATGAAGAAAAGGCAAGGTCAGGATGAGCCAGAGTGAAAAAAGGGAGCCAACGCCCAAGACGAGGAGGGTAAAACCCACTGGACTAATGTCTCCTCACAGCTGGGCTTTCCAATGATGCTGTAATGGCAATTAAAGTTCAGTACTAGCTGCGGAAGAAACAATCATTCGAACCCCAGCACCCTCCAGTGAAGCCCTCTGAGCCTGTGTGCTCGGTGGAGCATCTCTCCCGGAGGGGTGGGGAATGCTGGGCTCAAACCCAGGGTCTCGAAGGTGCTAGGCAAGAATTCTACCACTGAGCCAGGTCCTAGACCTCTTGTTGGAGAGGTTTTTGAAGATCTGTTTTACTTTAAATCGAGTATATTCATATATCTGAGTGTTTGTCACATGTGTGCGGCTGCCTTGAAGCTGGAAAAAGAGTTTCAGATCCCCTGGACCTGGAGTAACAGATGGCTGTTAGCTCCCTGAGAACTGAACTGGGTCCTCTGGAACGGGAGCAAGTGCTCTTAACTGCTGAGCCCTCTCTCCAGCCCCCACCTCTAAGGGTGTCTTTAGCCCGAGGCCAGCCGGCTCTGCGGAGTGAGTTCCGGACGTACACAGAGAAACCCTATCTTGAAAAAGAAACAAAACAAGCAAAGGATATCTTTAGCCTCATAACGCATATTTTGATGGGCTGATTTCATTTCCATCCCCGTTCAAAATACATTCTAGTTTACATTGTGACTTCTTCCTTGACTCTGGTTATCCAGGATGACTTATTGTCCTGCCTCTTGGAGATTTTTTTTTTTTTTTTCAGTTTCTTTGTTGTGGTTTTGCTTAACTTTAGCTAAATTCCTGACAGGTGTTGGGAGAAATTTCTCCTGTCCCTTGGCTAAAAATTTAAAGAGTATTTTCATTTATTTAACCAATAAACTTCTTTTTGTGGCAGCTGCAAAGGTAATGTCAAACGTGTTTTCTGTATACGAGTGTTGGCTGCATGTATGAATGTGCCCTCTGCCTGGTGCCCACAGAAGCCAGAGGGCAGCATCAGATTATGAGCTGACACGTGGGAGCTGGGAACTGAACCTGCATCCTCTGAACCAACAACCAGTGCTCTCAACCTCTAAGCCGCCTCTAAGACTCAGGCATGTTTTCTGAACTCATTCAATCTTGACACCAATGGTGATACTTTTACTATTGACAGTTTTAAGTAAACTGTTACAATTTTTAACAGCCATGATTTAAGTTCCACATTAGTTTTTTTTTTTTTTTTTTTTTTAAGCTTTTGGCTTTAGCTCACATTTAGATAATGGCATTGAAACAAAGACCTCTGGTCTCTGAGTAGGTTAGTGCCCAGGAGAGAAGGGTTGTAGGCAGACACCTTAATGGTGCTCGCTCTGGGTCTTCTCGCATTGGCCAACACTCACGCAGCATACAGTCACAGGAGTAACCCTCGGGTAAACTATGGACTTGGGCTGACAGTGGCATGACTGTAAGTCTATCGATTGTGACAAAGGTTCTGCCCTGGTACCAGATATGGATAGTGGAAAGCTGTGCCTGGGGACAGGGGCTGGGGTGCTGGGGAACCCTGCACGTCCCATTCCGTGTTGTCATGAATCTAAAACCACCCAGAAACTAAAGACTACTTAAAAGAGCCAAGAATGGACTGCCCCGTGGTCCAGAATGTTAGACTAACATTTAGGAGCTGCGGTTACATGCTTGTGGCGATCACTAATTAGCGTCTTTGATCCACGCGGTTTCCAGGCTGACTGTGTGCGATCCCCCTTAACTTGAACGAGCTTTACTTAGTGACGGGAAATCACTTTGATGACATCTGTGCTATTGGAGTACCGGAGCAGTTGGACCCTGGGGTGTGAGCTGGAGCCCCTTGGCCCTCACAGCCACTGCACGCCCTGCAGAGACCGAATTAAGAGTATCTCCCAGCTGCCTCCCTGGTGAGTTCAGCCTGAGCTTGGTAAATAATATCAGAACTGAGTCATTTATGACACAGGATGAAAAATAAATGCCTTTCAGGCAGTTCCTGTTGCCTAATATGGATGAAGCAGTCGACACTTTAACAAGGGCCCCACCTGTGACCCAGATGAACTTTTCCCTATAAGGCTGTTGATCTAATTTCCTGATCAAAAAGGGAAACCAGAGATACTGTAAATGGTCTGTCTAGACCTGAAGAGGGGCTTTTCTCTCTTCTCCGTGGCTTTGGCAACATAAGTCTTATTGAGCCTATTCCTTAAATAGTCAAAGGTGTATTATTTTGTCCTGTTTTAATGCATTCCGGGGAAAGGAGAGGTCTGCTGCCTGGACGCTCACAGACCCCCTCCCCGCCGCCCACCCTTCCCTCCCCCACCCCACCCCCAGGACCCGGAAGCAGGGTTTATATTTAGAGTTTAGAAGGCAGCGCTGATAATGTTCCAGAATCTGGTCGCAAAGCCCCGGAGCGCATCCTCCTCCAAGGATGGGGGAGGGGGAGAGTTTGAGAGGCGACTTTCAGAGAGCTGAACTAAAGCCATAAGGAAGTGAGGCTTGTTCTAAGGAAACACAGCCCATCCATAAACGTGTGACTCACAGGCTGCTTTCAAGTTGCAAAACTGATTCTGAATCATTGAAGGAAAAAAAAAAAAAAAAACCTTCAGATCTCCAAAGTCTGAGTCGTCCTTTAGGAATCGACAGCTGAGGTCTTAGCTGCCCGTGAATACGTCCTTATTCACCGGCCTAAAGTAACCCGAAAGCGACATTAAAATAGGTCAGTTTGCTAGAAATGTTTGCTTAAAGGCCAGACGGGGCTCCAAATTTCTTTTGAATGAATCATAAGAATCTAGATGATAAAAAAGATTTATGCAGAGAGAGATGGGCGAAGGCACAGAGCCGTCCTTAATAGAACCCTGCTTCTGGAGCCTTGAGAGCAGGCTCAGGGGGTGAGGGACCTGAGAAAGGACAGGTGGCCCGGAATATCAAACTAGCTCACCAGAGCGAGGCTTAATGCTGTGTGCCTGTCACCGCAGGGCTGGGGAGTTTAAAGCCAGCCTAAGTAACTCGATACACAGTAAAAAGAGGACTAGGGGCGCATCACAATGGGCTGAGCAGGTCCGTGCTGAGGAAAGAGAAACGAAAGTGGCCGCTCTGATGGCTTGGCAGTTAAGAGCACAGGTGCTTACAAAGGACCCAGGTCAGGCAGACCACGACCACCTGTTACTCTAGCTCTAGGAGATCCCACACTTCTAGTTCTGATGACATCTGTCCTTAAGTACATACACCCATTCTTACACACGTAATTAAAAATGAATCGTTTATAAAAAATAAAGATAAGCACAATGGCCAATCAGCAGGGGGCTAGAGCCTACAAGGTGGAACCGTCAACGCGCCGCAGTGGGATTTTCCCAGAGATCAGTTTCCATTGAGATGCTTCAGAATCTGTGTTACAGAGATGAAGAAAATGATGACCCAGAAAATTTCCAAGTGACAAGGAATAATGTCCACCCTGAGATTTCAATCATTAACTTCAGACTGACCTTCAGGCTGATACCCAGGTCCAAGAGCCAGGACAATGGTATCTCTCAGAGATAAAACACACAGCGTTTAACTGGAAAGCTTAGAGATAGTGGATGTAGATAAAACCAATATTGAAGTGCTGAGAATTTTTTTTTATGAATGTATAAAGACAGTTCAGGAGAAGTTTGGAGGCAATTTTTATTAGTACTCAGAAAACTGAAATTTGAGTAAACATTAACTGGACCATGTAAATGTTATGAATTACACTTTCCTGTGAAAATTTCCTGAGATTTTCCCACGGGTGTTACCTGTGGTCATGTCATTGGACATTAAACCCTGAGATGAGATGAATGAATGTGTACCATGTGCCCATGGAAGTCAGAAGAAGGCTTTAGATGCCCTGGAACTAGAGTCATGGGTGCTGGGAACCAAACGCAAGCTCTCTTCAAGAGCAGCAAGTACTCTGAACCGCTGAACCATCTCTCCAGACCATGACGAGAGAATTTTAACCTTCAGGGCACAAGCAGGGTTTCCCACAGATCCAAAGATGTCCTGGAGCATTTCCGACAGAGGTGAACTTGTAGGGTTTCAATCCCTAGTTTATCACTTACTAGGAATGAGGACAGAGGGAGCCGTTCAAACTCTCCGGGCCAGTTTCCCCATCTGTAAGATGTGGGTGCCTCTTCTAAGTGGGTCTGTGTGACAAATATGTCCAGTGACTCGTGTCGCTTGCTTCCTAGGCCCTGATGGTCAAAGGCATTAAAAAGAAAGCCCAATCTTCAGATCACTCCCACAAAAGAATGTCAACGCCCGAGTCTTCGGAAATGCAACAGTAGATCTTGCGACTCAACACCCAGAAAGCTGAACTCACACAAAGGAAAAACAAGGGGGAAAATTTCAACTTAGGATCCTCTGTCTTGACTTAGGTGTCCTTTGCCGACATTCTAGTCCTTCCCTCATTGCTGGTAGCGCTCTTCCTTGGTCTCCTCTGCACACCTTGGACTGTGTGTGCACTTATACCTGTTTACACACACATATACATAGACTGTATGTACACCTATGCCTGTTCACACACATATAGATTTATATACACCTATATCTGTTTACACACACGTCTACTCAGACTGTATGTGTACCTATACCTGTTTACACACACGCCTACTCAGACTGTATGTGTACCTATACCTGTTTACACACACACACACATACTTAGACTGTATGTGCACCTATGCCTGTTCACACACACACACACACATACTTAGACTGTATGTGCACCTATACCTGTTCACACACATATACATAGACTGTATGTACACCTATATCTGTTTACACACACGTCTACTCAGACTGTATGTGTACCTATACCTGTTCACACACATACACATACACTCTACAGGCTGGGACCCACATATGTGTCCGAATGCTCAGCTTTCTTCTGAGGTTGTGTCACCTTGCTTGATATTATACTCCCACGATCTGCACATTTTCCTGCAAATTTCCCATTTTTTTTCTGGATAACACTCTGGGCTGTGCACACACCACATTTGCATTACCAGCATCTGCTGACGGACATCTAGGCTGCTTCCGTTTCCCTGCCGACATAAATAAAGCAGCAATAAACACTGGCGTGCGAATATCTCTACGGGGCAGTCCAGTACACTAAGTATACACCCAGGAGCAGCAGAGCTGGGTCAGATGGCAGGTCTACTTTTCTTTTCTTTTTTTTTTTGCAGCCAGTCCATGCAAGCCTCAAAGAACAGTGTCTTCCTAGCCGTCTCCAGACCGCAGCTAAAGCTCAACACGTACTTGCTGAGATGAGTGTTTACAGCAAGGAATTTGAAGGGATTCTTTCTTTCTTTCTTTCTTTCTTTCTTTCTTTCTTTCTTTTTTTTTTTTGGAACCTCCAAACTGACTTCCATTTGGCTGCATTACTCTCTACTCCCACCAAGCTTTATAATCTGAAATTCTTCCCTTTTTTCTCCTGTTTAACTCTATATCAGAGCAGTTCATTCATGGTGTTATTTAATATGTGAACTGTATTGTTTTACACAACATGGTTTTAAAATTTAAATGAATTTGCTTTAAATGGGGATGCTAAGACTACCTCACAGGATCGCCTTGGTCAGGGACACAACAAGCCATGTGACTTGGTATGGGAATCCTACAACTTTTTTTTTTTCAGATTCATTTTATTTTATGATTGTTTGGCCTGCACGTATGTCAGTGCGCCGCAAGCATGCCTGGTGAAGTCAGGAGAGGAAAACAGCTCCCCCAGTTAGGGAGTTAAGGATGGTGTGGGTGATGGGAACTGAACCCAGGACCTCACAAGAGCATCCATCACTCTTAACCACTGACCCATCTCTTTAGCCTTGGGACCGTGAGCTCTAAAAGCTAACGAGAACCATCTTCTACGTCACTATCATTTGATGCTCAAGAGAAATTGCGTTCTTTTGAGGGGAAGACACACTCAGCATCGTTAGCCAGGGTGCCTGTTTGAAACTTGGCTTCTGTGAGGTTGCATTCGCAGGCCCCAGACAACCGCCAGCGCTCTCAGTGACCTTAGCAGCCAGTCCATGCAAGCCTCAAAGAACAGTGTCTTCCTAGCCGTCTCCAGACCGCAGCTAAAGCTCAACACGTACTTGCTGAGATGAGTGTTTACAGCAAGGAATTTGAAGGGATTCTTGTTTTCCAGCCTTCTTAACTGCCGCGCGCGTGTTCCCTCGCGGAAAAGGTTACATGTGTTGACTGCCGGACAAGTGCCCCAGACTCCTCAGATTTACAGCCCTTTCCCGAGAGAGAGCTGCAGCTCAGCGCTGGGCAGCAGGGTGCTGTGGTTGCCAGGAGTTCAACCCAGCTTAGATTAAGAAAACAAACTCCCGGTGGGTGCCTGTTTAGCATTCAAAAGGCGCCAGGTTCAATCCTAGCACCACAATAAATAAAATAAAGATGAAGAAGCAGCCCAAATCCTTGCTCTGCCTCCTGACTTCTGCCTGAAGCCCAATGCGTTGAACTGCCTCATGGGTGGCGGTGACCTGGAGGGATTCATCACTGCGGCCCAGTGACCAACATTAACCGACATTTGGGACGGGGTGTGTCTCCCTATGCATTCGGAAGAATCATCTGAGAGTTTGGCGTCTGACTTTTTGGATCCTTTTCAAGACAGAAATCATCTTTAAAGCCAAGTGGAGACGATGAAGTGAGTTCACATTTGAACACAAGAGGCAGATAGCTCACTGGGTGGAGTGAATGAGGGCTGAGGTGAGTCACACGGTCCTGGGGATGGAATATAATTATAGCTCGTTTGGAAGCGAGCACGTACAGACGTGACCTTTATTCTCCAGCAGAGCCGCGCTAATGTCCGCTGCCACGCTGACATGGACACCAGGGGACATAAATCCAAACAGCAGCGGCCGGAGAGCAGGTCACACTCCAGGGGGTGAGGCTCTGGCCAGCTCCAGGCTTCTACTGAGCAAGCACACACCTAGAGGTCAAGGTCCCAGATGACAGTGGCCAGCTGGTCTCTACCGCGCTGGTGATAACAACTTTCCATGCTGAGGTGGCGTCTCTCACACACGGTCATCACAAGCTCCATCTTGCTGTCTAACGCAGACTCAACCCCCACAACCTGTGCCCTTCTTCCCTTGGTATGCATACTGCTTCTTGGAGGTGACGGTCCCCAAGATGTGTTCATTTATTTTTTTTGCCTTAAAATGCCAGCCCTCATATTGAGTGAGGTAACACAGACCCAGAAAGACAAATATAATATGTATTCATTCATAAGTGGCTTTTAGACCAAAAAAAAAAAAAAAAAAAAAAAACAAAGAAAAACCAGCCGACGGGCCATAAACCCAGAGAAACTAGACAACAAAGAGGAACCTAAGAGAGACACACATGGATAGACAAAGGAAGGTGAAAGAGACAAGATATCCTGAGTTCATCGGGAACGTGGCAGTCATGGGAGAGGGGAAAAGGGAAAAGGGGAGGAAGGAAGGGGAGTGAAGAAAAATGTATAGCTCAATAAAAACAATAAAAAAATGTCAGCCTTTGAGGGGCTGGGGAGGTGGCTCGTGGACAAAGCCCTTGCTTTGCCAGTATGAGGTCTGCAGTTCATTTTTGTTGGGCACCTGCGGCAGGCACCTGTAATTCCAATACTCAGGAGGCAGAGACAGGAGCCATGGGATAAGCTACCTCTCTACTCAGAATCGACTGCCAGCTCCAGGTTCAGCAAGAGACCCCTCAATAAATAAAGTAGATATCGATCACGGTCAACTTTGAGCCTACACACATGTACACACCTCCCCCCCACACACCACTGCAAGACACATGCAAATTATAAATGAGAAAATAAATAACAGACATAATAAAATGTCACCCTTGCCTGGCTCACTTTACTTCTAATTTGAGACAAGTAGCTGATGTGGGTCAGGGCATTTTGGGCTTCTTCCCTCCTGCCTCTACTTCCTGAGCGTTGGGATCACAGGCAGGCATTGCTGTACTTGGTCTATGTGGCTGGGTATGGAACCCAGGGTTTCTTGTGATAGAGGCAGTCTATCATTTGATCTCTCTCTCTCTCTCTCTCTCTCTCTCTCTCTCTCTCTCTCTCTCGTGTGTGTGTGATTTTGAGAAACATTCTGTGTAGTCCAGGATGGCCTCAAACTTGAATTTCTCCTGCCTCAGCACCTGACATTCCTGACTTTTGTATTCCCTCGAGCCTGCCTGGTTCTCACCTCTACTTTGAGCTCTGCACCATTCCTTGCTCCTGGCTCAGTGTATTATCAGAACACACTGGTGTGCACAGTACAGCTGCTGAGGGAATACAGCCGTTAGTAGACTCGGCAAGAGTCACAGATGTCCTGACCCCAAATGACAGATGACCTCTAGTGCCCTCCCCATGGTCAAGGACATCTAGTCATTACCCCCAATCCAGTGTCTTCCAGAAAAGCTCACCATGATTCACTCTGTTACCTGTCCAAAGTGATGCCATGTGATGGGAGAGTTCTTGGTATTATTAGTGATTAGCGAATAACGAAGGTCACAATTATCATGTGCTCCACTCTAACTACCAGTGGACATGAAATATAAGCCAGAGGTCATTCTTAGTAACATGAGTATGAGTGTGTGTGTCTGCGTGTGCGTGTTTCTGGGAACTGGACCTGGGACTGTAGCGCAGTCCTAATTATTAGTCTTATTAATAAAAACCCGGGGTCAGGTATCGAGGGTGAGAGCTGAAAGATCAGAGCAGCAGAGCTGCAGGCTCTAGAGAGACTTCTTACCTCTCCCAAACCCTCAAACCAAATGGTCCCACGAGTGGCAGCCGGTCCCCATCGCCTATGTCTTTGTAAAAGAACAACATAACACAAATATGTTGCTTAGGACTGAGTCCTCAATTGCCACTTAGTCTGTGCATCTTGGGCAGCCATGCACCTCTGCATTCACCTCTATTCAACTTTTTAAAAATTATTTTTAAGTAAATATTTTTTTTTTGCAGTACTGGGGATTGAACCCAGGGCCTCCTTCAGGTTAGGCACACACTTAATACCGAGCCTCCTCAATTTTTGTTTCATTTACTTCATAAATTACCCAAGCTGAACTTGAACTCACCATCCAGCCTGGGCAGCCCCTAAACTTGTGACTTGCCCTGCCTCAGTAACATCCTAAGTAACACACACCTAGTGTGCTCAACACTCTGGGCTCGGACCCCAAAACTGGGGGATACAAATCCCGTGCAGATTGAGTGTTCATGAGGTGGGTGGGACAGGAAGAGGCACAGTGAGCGAGCGCCACCGGGGGTCAGGCCCTGATCTCTTCGCCTCACCCTGCTAACAGGCCACTGCTTCCCAAACCCTCACTCGTACACCCTCGGAACATCCTGAGTGTAAATGTCATTCTCCTTGACTCCTGGCCCAGCCCTGTACACGTCCCCTCCCTGTTGCCCACAGTTTTCCTGTCCCTGAACTGTTTTTGGTACCAACACTCCATGTGTTTCTTATAATAGTGGCACTAATGTCACTGCTTCAGTTGGTGTCATGGCTCTTTCAAAGACACCCGGAACCCTTGACGGCCATGGGGCTGTTACCACGTTATTAACTGACCACACGATTCCATCACGTAATGGACACAATCATCCTCTCCACGAGGAAGGTCACATAGCCAGCTCCAGGGTGCCACAAGGTCAAGAGCAGTAGAAGGAACCTGGAAGTGGGGTCTAATTCATGTCAGCCGTGGACGAGCCGGCTCTTTATCTTCCCCAGGAGCCGCTCAGAAGGACACGGGAAGCCAGCACTGGAGCAGGACAGAGTGCCTTCTAAAAGCAGCATCCCTCGTTCACTTCTTAGCTGCACGGCATCCTTCTCCCTGTTTGCCTGGATAGAGCCGCGCTTATCGGTGAGAGTAAGGATGGCCAATCCGTGCAGAACCTCTGCTTTAGCGCTGGCCCACTGAGCCTCCCTCTTTCTGACCAGTCTGCCTGCCTTCTCCACAGCCGCCTTGCTTGCATCCTTACCCTCACCGGCTCTCCTTGCCCGCACTCTGGGGGAGCCCAGCACACTGTACCTCCCGCCCTTACATATCGCGCCTGCTCTTCCCCGGATGTCCTGATGACTGCTGAAGCCTTGACTCTGAGATCACATTCTCAGCAACACCCTCCTTGACCACCTCCTCTGTCCTGGCTCCTGCTGCTTCTACCCCCACACCTTGAAGTTCCTGCCCTTATCTCGTTTCC